AAGGAGAGAAAAGTCTATCTCTCACACTCACACACGCGCACACAAAATATCTTAAATAAACTGGTTAAAATTATCTGATGTCAAATATTACGCCCAGACTAAAGTAAATTTGCATTTTACAGTTGGTGAAGGGAAAATATTTTCCTTATTATTCCTTCTTCGTGTTACGTATCTTTCAACTGGTTTCCTAAAAACGTGCTTTTATTTTTTAATAATTATTCCAGATCTGATAAAAATCATCATCAAAACATTGGCTTCTGGAATACTTGATTTTTTCCAATTTTCCATTTTCTTAAGCACAGTTAGTTTATCAGCAGAGCCAGAAAAATTTTTTGCATAGAAACCCAAGAGCTCTAGTTACGCCACTGGTTATATAGAGGTATATGTTTTGGGTAATAGAAGATTGATTTACAATGCTTATGGTTTAAGGAATTTCAGTCCTTTCTGCAAGTTCAGATATGAGGCCCCCTAACAGGGTCCCTTTTAAAATTATATCTTTTATGCATGATCCAACTGTTACATAACTTATTATTACTAATAATTTTATTTCGAAAAAATACTTATATAACATTTTTTATATTAATTGTTTTAAAAGTAATGCAGTTTTTAATAGTCAAATAGAACGCAAATGTATTGAAAACTGACGAACTTAAGTGATGTATCGCAGCCAAGAAGAATGGTTAGTAGTTGTTATTTAGCATCTGTTCAACAGGAAATTATAAAGAGCCAATGGTCCTTGTCCTGGAAATTGACAATTTTTTATCTGTGTTGGGTTTGGAACAGAGTTCAGTTTTTAAGTTCCGTCCAAATTTTCTTACTTTACTTGAGCATTAGTCCAATAAATCTGATAACGTAGACAGATCCACAATTTAATTGCCTCAGATTCTTCTAAATGAGGAAAAAATAATATAATTAAATGGAGTTTCCAAAAATTGCAACTACAAAATACAAAAAGAAAAACCAGTCTTATCTTTTAGTACTTGTAACAGCACTTTTTATATCTTAAGAGATTTAAATGGTAGTTTTTTTAGTGCATTGTAGTAATTAATTATTCAGTGCTCGTATTACAATAACCTTATATACTTCTTCTTATGAATCATTACTTCGGATTCATCTTGAAATACTCTTACATAGTTTAATTCAACTTCCAAAATAAAATTTTATTCCTTCTCTTTTATGTTGAATTTATATTTTTAATTACACATTAATAATTACTGTAGCACAGATTTAAAGCAGAAATTTCAAATCACAGATTTTGTTTTAATACATGACAATGATGATACATGACAATGATACATGACATGACAAATGATACATGACAATGACTATCGGATATAAAACTTAATTAAAATTGTTTACGAAAATTGGAGATCTTTGCTTATGTGATTTTCTACGTAACATGCCAAAAATAGAAATATGAAAATAAATATTTCTAAATCGACATACAATGAAATTTTTTTATAACGATTACCTACGACTCCCAAAAACTTTGACTTTTTTTATTGGGGTGACTATTTTAAAGCAGCCAGCTTGATGATGAATAACGATATACATAATATATTTATCCTGTTCTATGTTTTTGAAATTTTCTATAAAATGTAGAAGTACGTAAGTTTTATAGATAGTAGGTACGCAGGCTTATTAATACTCTTACATTAATAAAATTACGAATTATTTACAAAAACAAGCACTAAAAACTCTAGCGAAAATAAATAAAAGTTTACTTTATGTCAAATTTCCTATATTCTCTTAGTAAATCATATTCTAAAAGACGGAAAATGTAAAACAAAAGGAATGTTGGATGAAATTTAAGTGCAAGGTTTGGTTAGTAATTTTAGAAACACTCACAGGTTATCAACTTATCGATCCGCTGAAGTTTGCCAACCCCTTGAGGCAGACCCGTTGAAATATCTTCAATGAATTTTGGTCACGTTTTTATATTTTGCAGACACATTAGGTATTTTGGAAGCAGGAGACATGCAAAATGAGCAATGCCCTCGCCGGGACTCGAACACGGACCTCTCGACTAGTGGTCAGCACGCGTAGAGGCCACGAAAGCATGCTAAGAAGGCGAGAGAAATACCTTATATAGTCCTCCTTTTAAAGAGCACTTGGGGATTAGGGAACCCATTCACCAAATCCTGATGATGGAGAATCGTCATCCACCACCTTTTAGTTCGAGCGCCGCTTGTAGTGTCATTAGGTTATTTCGAAAGCAGGAGACGTGCAAAATGAGCAATGCCCTCGCCGGGACCCGAACCACGGACCTCTTGAATACGCATCGAACGTTCTGACCACTACACCACGAAGACATGATAAGAAGGTGGGAGAAATACCTTATAATTTTAAACTTTCGATTTTTGATTTGCAAGCGTTTCATTCTAAGGTTAACTATTTAGGATATACGAACGAAGCTAAAAAAAAAAAAAAAAAGACAGGTATAGATGGATACATCGATCTATCAGTTTTGAAATCAATGCAAATGATTGCAGTACCATCAAAGATAAAAATTAGCTACTTTTGGCACCATTTCAGCCTTAGTTTATCAATACTACTAGTTGCTCAGAACAAGAATGAAAGCATTCATATAAACAATAAAGCAATGCGATAAATCGTTCAAAATAGCTGTTAGTAAGGAAACTCATGGGATAGTCTACATGAAGAAAAGATAGCACTTGTGTGGTGTGCTTCACTGTACAAATCACACTGTATTGTTGATTAACTTTTTTTCCATATAAATAATTTGCTAATGCAATAGAAACCAAAAGTATAATAACTCAGTTGACGTATGATCACATAAACAACTTTAACAGCGAAATGAGACAATCAGAATTTGACAGTGAAATTAAGTGGCTGCTGTGTACACTGGAAGATCTCTGTTCAGTTAGAATACGGTCGTCTCACAAGTTGCTATTTTAATTATCAGTATTGAAGCTTATTCATTTCTCAGAAGTTTAAACTTTTTTCAGAGGTATCGCCTGCCGGGAGGAGAGAATAAAGATTTACTGTATTTTGTTTTTAAATAACAGAATATTTTAAGCAGCTATTAAACCGAAACAGAAAGCTAGCAACGCTTTTAATTTTAAATGATGATTCATCTTTCAAAACGAACAAATGTACTTCAACAATGTTGAATAATTTTTTATAATGCAGAGAATGCAGAAAATTCAAGTTCTTTACACCAAAATTAAAATATCAGCTTTTATTAAACATTGGTTCATCAAACGTCCGAATGTTTAAGACCGTTGAACATGGAAGTTAGATCCGGGTTTTGAATCCTGGCGAATGGACTGGGTGCGAGTGACGTAGGAAGGCAGGTGCGGTGGATACGACCAACACCTCCTAGAACTGAGTGAGCAAAAATTGTCGGTGTTGTATTAATGCACTTTTCCTTACACAAAATAACATGTCAAGGAATTTACACGGGCCTTCCCAACAGCTAACTGCAGTAGATTGTGGGTGAATCATGAGACGCTGTAATGATTTAGTATTATTGTGTTTTGTTTTGTTTCTTTTGAACCTTCAGCTCAAATAAACAAACATCTGGAGCTCAATTAAGCAAACAACGGTCTTAATTACCTATCGACTTATCCATGCTACATATATCATTCACCTTAAAAGTCAAATGACACGATAAAGAGTGTAGAGTTATCAAGTTTTTTTGTTGCTGGAGACGTGAAAAATGTGCAATGCCTTCGCCGGGACTCGAACCCTGTATCTTTCGAATACGCTTCGAGTATGCATCCAATTACATCTCGAGGCATGGTGAAAAGAGGGAAAAAAGTACCTTATATACTCCCCCTTTTAAAAGGTGAGTGGGGATTAAGGGATACAAGGTGGCGACGAATTATTGTCCAACATCTTTTAATTTTGACGCCAGTGTAGATCATTAGGTTTTCCTGAAGCAGGAAAGGTGAAAAATCTGCAATGATCTCGCCAGGAATCGAATTCCTGGACCTCTTGAATACGCGTCAAGTACGCTTCCAATTACACAACGAGGAGATTCGGAAAGGAGAGAGAAAATATCTTATAAATTAAGATTGAACATTTTCTTGGAGATTTAAAATTTTATTTACTAGATAATGTAATTGTATTTCGGTGTAATTTACTACTTTTTATATGTGAGACTACGTAGTGAAATTGACTGAAAAATTTATCTTTTTTTAAAGAATTTTAAATTTTATTCTACAAAAGCTATAGGTAAAATATGATTATTTGGAGACATTTCATGCTTAATGAATTCCTGCTGTCCAAAAATATATTATAAGTTCAAATATGAAAACTATCTATTTCATGAATTTACTATTATCGCAAACAATGAACCAAAATTATCATAAGTACTTTAAAAACAACTGGTTTAAAAGTACTTTAAAAGGCTCATAGTTATGAATCCGTACATATTTAATAAAAAGCTGAACTGTATGAAACAGTTAGGAATACTTGATAAATGTTGTCAATGCAATACTTTAATGAATTCATTATGACAATCTGCTGTAAATATAGAGGTGATTGGTCTCATTTTTGAAAAAAATAACAAAGCTAACAATTGTGTTTTGAAATACATAAATTCAAAATGCATTTTTATGCGTTTTCCTTTCTTAATAGAGCGGAAAAAGATGTATTGTGTAATACATTTCTTTCTCCTTTAATAACTGATACTCAAAATAGGTTTTTCGCTTAACCTTCTCGGTTCATCAAACGATGTTCGAAACTTTTTTGACCCTGAACTTGAACCTGAAAAAGAATAGTTGCTTTTCTTTATAAATAGAAATCACGTGATGTGAGTTACCTGAAAATCCGGTATGGAATATTTTAACATTACGCGAAAAGAGCTTGTTGTTCAAAGGGAAGATGTTAAAAATATTCATCATGAAGAAAAGGTCTATAAAGGGTCGTCTGAGAGAGGCCGAGTTGCTTTAAAGGGGGGGGGGAGAGAAAGGAGATAATAAAGAAAAAGAAGTTTTGCGTTGATGACCGGTAAATGAGCTGGTCTTAAGACGACGGCAGAACTCGCGCAGGTAAGTCAATGGCTTTCTCATCTCTTCTCTCTAATTCACGGCCAATGTATTTAAAATGATCTTTGATAGGGAATAAATCAATATACTTTTGTCAATTTTTAGAAATTTTGATTCTATGTACCTCATTAAATGAGTAATTGTACATGATGCGTTTAGTATTAAATTTATTGAGACTATCTACAGAAATAATTGCTACTTAGAAATTCAAAAGCTCTTTAAACTAGCATTTAGCTGAAGGAAAAAGTTTTAAATCATCATTTTACTAAAAAAGATTTAAAAAAAGGCCTCCTACAATTATAAGATTTTTGATTTTATTACAGTATTGGAAAAATCATCTCATTAATTGGAATAATAAATGCATTTCAAAGTGTGTTTACTGTTTCATTACCTACAATATGTAGATTGTAATATTATGAGCATTAAAAAAAGTTATCGGACGTTTATTTAAATATATAATTGTCTACTGATATTTTTCTTGTAGATATCTAAAGGCATTTTTCTCTCTGGAACTTAAAATATTGCATTTATATAAACAGAAACTTCCAATTTTTTTTAAACATAGGCAGATATTAATTTCTTCAGTTATTCACATAGTTTCGTTATTAATTTCGAAAAAAAAAGTGGCCTGTAACGCTATATCAAAGCACTAGTGACTGCTAAATTATTCTAAACAAAGTGAAGGAGAAAACAGTTTATTAAAAAATTTCAGTAAAAACATGGAAAATTTCAAATTATTATTTTTTCTTTGACTACCCTTTTGTGGAGCTGTCTAGTTATCATATAAGTATCATAGAAAGGATTATCTGAGTTATCATCTCTTAATGTTTTAGAATGTTGCTTTACAAGATGAACTTGCTTTTTGTCTGTTTAACCTCTCATTGCAATGAACAATTAGTATTCGAGATTTCTTTCTTTCTGTCAATCAATTTGTCAAACGAAGCTTGATAGAAAAAAAGTAGTATCTAAAACTTTCGAAAATAAAATACAATCTTACACTTTGTTAATTTTGATAAAATATTTAATTTTCTTCCGACTTAATATTTCACACCATCAGGGTGGACAGCAGCTTTTGTAAGTTGTCAGGCATCGAATTTTGCATTCACATTCAATGCTGTAAATATTTACAGCCTAGCATTTACTTTAGAAATACAGTGATTTTACTCACAAAAGTGGCGGTACGTTTTGTTCAGAATAATATGGAAGCATTTACTGCCTCCATATTATTCTTTGCTGTAGATAAATTGCTTGTAATGTAACCTTTCAGTATGCATTTCCATTTTCGCAGACTTACCCACTAACTTGCAAGAACTTACATTTGTACGGGAATCAGAATTAAACTGTTAAAGTGTACTTAATTTTTCTCCCGTTTTCTTTGCATTTGAATGCATTTCAGAGTAAAATCAATAAATTTATAAATTCAATAGAAAATTACAGTTAAACTGTAAATAAATTTACTTACTTCATTTTTACAGTATAAGTAATTTATATTAATTGTTTTATTAATAATGCAGTTTTTCCCGCAACTATAAAATACACTAAAGTAACACTGAATTAGGGACAGGAAGTCCATAATGAGTTGGTCCTACTCTGACCTTGATAATGGCTGACACACGATGAGGCATAGATTCAATAAGTTTGCGGAAACATTCTGCGGGAATGGCTTGCCAGACATCGGACAGAGATGTCCATAATTCAGGAAGAACGCTAGTGTTGTGTGTTGTGGTTTTACACCTCTCCTCCAAAACATCCGAAAGGTATGCTCAGTGGGATTTAAGTCAGGACTTCTAGGTAGCTAATTAATGAGAGAGAAATCAGATGAAAGCTCATCCTGCCAGGTAGTAGCCAACCGGGACCTGTGAGAGCTGCAGTTATCTTGCTAGAATACTCTATTTCCATGTGAATGACAGGACAACATAAATGTATGGAGATAATCACCGAACAACTAACTCTACTTACTGAATCATATTTAGGAAGGTTGGTAAAAGTGCCAAAGATCCCAAACACTGCCAGGAGGAAACACCCCAAACCATGATTGAGCCGCTGTGGCTTTGTACATTTCCAACCTGGCATGCAGGATCCATAGCTTCATGAGCCTGAAGCCATATTCTCAGCCTCAGTTCGGTGTTAAGTAGCCAGAATCGAGACTCATCACTCCATGCTACTCATTTCTAGTCCTCAAGAGTCCATTATCTGAGTTCTCTTGCCCAGGCAACACGTGCAGCTCGATGGCATGAGCAATGGTGTTCTCGAGGGTCTACGGCTCCCGAAACGGCCGTCGAAACGACGCTTCCGGAATCTCCGTTCTTCTCTCAGCTTCACGAGCACTGCTACTCCCCATTCATGTCTCGGCTGCTATATCTTTCATGACACTTTGTACCACATGGACACGGTCCGCTCTCAAGGGTGGTCTGCCACTTCGTTGACGATCCTCCAAAATCCCCGTTTCCTTTAAACGTCGTATTAAATTCCGTATCCCATTTAATGAAATAGGGCTTTTTGCGCCTTCAGTCCTTTCTCCGTGCGAACCTTTCGCAATGTAACAGTTGTGGATTCACCATTCTTATAGAACAATTTAACCACCAACGCCCGATCTGGTAAAGAAAGCATGCTGCCGGCTTCGAATGAAGGCTCCGTTTCCAGCCAAGTCTTTTATTGATAGCCTGATTTGCATAAAACATCTCAGTGTGACGTGTAAGCGCCCTCAGTCGGTTACATTTCTTTTCTTTTCTTTTTTTTTTTTTTAACATGGGAAAAAATCCAATGTCTTTCTGACCATATTGGCGCAAACAGAAAAATTGTCCGTACGTTCCTTCTTTCATTACGAGTTTTTGAACTTTTTACGAATTTATGACGCACCCGGTATACGTAATATGAGCAAAATCGAGTAAGTTTCAGCAAAAGCTCTCTTTACAACTCACTTTGTAATGGAAACAAATAATCGAAGCACATTGAGAGCATCGTTTTGGTTTCATAAAATTCAATATATTTGAACCGTAAACGCAAACAACTAAGAAATTGCGGCCAGTGGAAAAATAGCAGCGCTCTAAAAACGCGCAGTGATAAGGGTATCTTAAATAGTAAAGCTGAGTAACTAAAATTATTGTGACAGTAGTAATTTCATAAATTCCAACGAATTGTTTGAATGCTTTGATATCGTATCTGGGTATAATATTAAAACCTGAATGTTGCTCAGAGAAGCTGTATTATATTCTAGTATACAGAGGGACATTTTTAGACGAGTTTCATTGTAATTACAGAAATATTTTACCTAAACTTTTAAATTTTTAAATGTTCTATTTGATAACTCTTATTCTTCTCTATCTTTATACACCATAATTTCCAAGACAATAAAGCCTTTTAGAGTAGCGAAAGAGGTTTTTTTATCTCATTGCTCTTGAACAGCTGCCCAAAGTCTAAGAAGGTTGTAAGTCGACGTTTGAACACCCGCAAAAGCGCAAAAATACTTTGTTGATAAATCAAGAGATTTTGTAGGGATATGAGTAAAAGGTATGGCTTTGATACCCGTTTCTTATTCCATTTTCCCCAGGAAATTAATAGTAGATTTTGACGTGTCGCTGCTCGCTTTCCCTTGATGCATTTCAACTGATTCATCAGTGTGTGTGTAAAGAGAAGGTATTTCATATTTGAAAGCTGGGTGTGAAGTATATTTTTGATAATATGTGGAGTTGATCCTAACACTTTTTTTCACTCTCTTTTTTTAAATTTGTCTTTATAATATGAAAAACCAGTAACAACCATAAATTCTTTAGAAAAACTTTCGTTATAATCCTTGAACCATGTTTTGAGATTTTTTTCCCTCATCTTGTTAATAAATGCATCTCTTTTTATTGTGGTCATTTAAGTACACCTAAGATTCGTCTATTGTGACAACGTTTTTCCATTTTTGTCCGGGTAAGTGTTTCTTATAAACAGTTCTGCAACGCGATGTGCGTTCGGCGATATGTCGTGAAAAAAGAAGATGCACATTACGTGTTTTCGCCTTTTTAAGATTCAAATCAGCATTAATCACTTTATTTGCAGTTTCTACTGAGCATTTTATTGATTTTGCAACTGTCCTTGGACTTGGCGGATTTTCTTTTAACATTAAAGATCTTACTTTTGCAACATTCGAAACATTCCGTTTTTCCTTGGATACGTATTTGGAATAATTTTCCCACTTGAAGCTAAATTTTGACTTCCCTCCCTTTGTTGTTGACAATATTACCTATCATAGCTTTATATATCGGAAAACCACGGCTTTCACAACGTGTTTTAATAACTAGATAAGAATACGTTTCTTCGGAATGAACACAAACATAGCCTTTCATCCATTGCTTCTTTAAAAGCGGCATTGTGCATGAAAACAAAACTGTCAAGTAGCAGATGATAATTTATATTTTCAAAAATATAGTTGCAGTTAAAAAAAAAAATTCCAAGCAGGGGATTTTTTTTCACAGCAAAGTAAAATCCTCTAAAAAAATGTGCGAACAGCCTCTGTTGATAGATTGTTCCAATCATGTTATCCGTAGCAATGGGACAAAGTGATGCGATATATTACATATGTAACCATTATATCGTCAACATTATTATATTGCCAACATTAATATCGACTAAATCCCTTTTCCCCATCCGCGCCCCATATGGTGTAATCTACAGTACAAAAGTACTCATTAGAGCGGAGCAGAATTTATTCTTCGGTTATTAAATCGCGCAAATATTTCATTTTACCCATAATAAAAGGCCTCTTTACTTTTCTAAATAAAGGTATAAAATGTGGATGGATATATAGAGATGAGATGTAATTTTATGTGCAAGAAACTTCTTCTTTCATGCTCTAACCATTTGATACATATAAATGCTCATTTATGCAACCATGGAAAGATGTCTAAGGCAGTCTGCCTCAGGAGGGAGTTGCTGTCGTGGAAGCCTTTTTAAGGGAAGCTACTCTCAATCTTAGAGAAAACTCTGAAAACAACCATGCAACAAATGAGTTCACCAGA